CCTCTCTCTCTCTCTTTCCCCTCTCCCTCTCTCTTTCCTCTCCCCTCTCTCTCCTCTCTCTCCCCTCCTCTCTCTCTCCCCTCTCTCTCGTCCCTCTCTCTCCCCCTCTCCCCCTCTCTCTAGACCCTCTCTCTACCCTCTCTCTCCCCCTCTCTCTCTCCCCTCTCTCCCCCTTCTCTCTCTCCCCTCTCACTCTCTCCCCTCTCTCTCCCCTCTCTCTCCCCTCTCTCTCTCCCCTATCTCCCCCTCTCTCTCTCCCTCTCTCTATCTCCCCTCTCTCTCTCTCCCCCTCTCTCTCCTCTCCCCCTCTTTTTTTTTTTTTTTTTTTTTTTTTTTTTTTTGGCACAGGTGTTTGACTAGTAAAGGAATCCCTAGTTGTATTGACAAACTATTTACAGTTAAGGATCCGAATTTCTTATTGCAAGCTAAGAGCCTGTACCTACATCAGCTCATAGAAAACATTTTTATTGTTATGAGGACATACAAGTAGGAAGCAGGATGAAGTTGATCCAACTGTGGTCCGCATTTTCATTGATCAAACTGACGTTATCTCGTTGACATCATTATGCCTGTAACGAATGTGGTTTCCATACTCGAGTTCATTCCTGGGTATATATGAATCTCAGATGGAGTGATTGATCTGGAGAAGGGTACAGCCAGAGTGAAGTTGCTGCTTTCGTGCCCGTCTCGTGGCATAAAAGCTTTTCACTCTGTCCTCTGAAGTGGAATCCCCCTCTCTCTCCTTCCTCTCATCTCCCTCCTCTCTCTCCCTCCTCTCTCTCGTCACATCCCACCTCTCTCTCACCCTCCTCTCTCTCCACCCTCCTCTCTCTCTCACCCCCTCTCTTCCCTCCTCCTCCTCTCTCTCCCTCCTCTCTCTCCCTCCTCTCTCTCCGCTCCTCTCTCTCCCTCCCTCTCATCTCTCCACCTCTCTCACCTCCTCTCTCTCTCCCCTCCTCCTCTCTCTCCCTCCTCTTCTCTCTCCCTCCTCCTCTCTCTCCCACCTCCACTCCTCCCTCCTCTCTGCTCTCCCTCCCTCTCTCTCCCTCCACTCTCTCTCCCCTCCTCACTCTCATCCCTCCTCTCTCTCTCCTCCACCTCTCTCTTCCCTCCTCTCTCTTCCCTACTCTCTCTCTTCTTCCTCTCTCTCTCTCCCCCTCTCTCTCGCCTCCTCTCTCTCTCCTCTCTCTTCCCTCCTCTCTCTTCCTCCTCTCTCCTCACGCTCCTCTCTCTCTCCCTCCTCTCTCTCTCACTCCTCTCTCTCTCTCACCTCCTCTCTCTCTCCCTCCTCTCTCCCTTCTCTCCCTCCCCTCCTCCTCTCTCTCCCTCCTCCTCTCTCCTTCCTCTCTCTTCCCTCCCTCTCTCTCCCTCCTCTCTCTCCCTCCTCTCTCCCTCCCTCCCTCCTCCTCTCTCTCCCTCCTCTCTCTTCCTCTCCTCTCTCCTCCTCCTCTCCCTCCTCTCTCTCCCGTCCCTCTCGTCCCTCCCTCTCGCTCCTCCCTCTCTCTCTCTCGCCTCCTCTCTCTCTCCCTCTCTCTCTCCCTGTCCACTCTCTCTCCCTCCTCTCTCCACCCTCCTCTCTCTCTCCCCTCTCTCTCTCCCTCCTCTCTCTCACCCTCTCCTCTCTCTCTCCCTCCTGCTCTCTCCTCCCTCCTCTCTCTCTCTCTCCTCCCTCTCTCTCCCTCCTCTTCTTCCTCCTCTCTCTTCCTCCTCCTCTTCCTCCTCTCTCTTCCTCCTCTCTCTCCCTCCTCTCCTTCCTCCTCTCCTCTCCCTCCTCTCTCTTCCCTCCTCTCCTCTCCCTCCTCTCCCTTCTCCTCTCTCCCTCCTCTCTCCCCTATCCTTCTCTCCTCCTCTCCTCTTCCTCCTCTCTCTTCCCTCCTCCTCTCTCTCTCCTCCCTCCCTCTCTCTTCCCTCCTCTCTCTCTCCCTCCTCTCTCTCTCCCTCCTCTCCTCTCTCCTCCTCTCTCGTCTCCGCTCCCTCCTCTCTCTCTCCTCCCTCCGTCTCATCTCACCCTCCTCTCTTCGTCTCCCCCTCCTCTCTCTCTCCCTCCTCACTCTCTCCCTCTCTCCGCTCCACTCTCTCTCCCTCCTCTCCTCTCCCTCCTCTCTCTCTCCTCCTCTCTCCTCCTTGTTCCCTCCTCTCTCTCTCCCTCCTCTCTCCTCCCTCCACTCTCTCCTCCTCTCTCTCCCTCCTCTCTCTCCCTCCTCTCTCCCCTGTGGACTCTCCCTCCTCTCTCTCCCCTCGCCTCTCATCTCCCTCCTCCTCTTCCTCATCTCTCTCCCCTCTCTCTCCCTCCACTCTCTCCCTCCTCTCTCTCCCTCCTCTCTCTCCCTCCTCTCTCTCCCTCCTCTCTCTCCCTCCTCTCTCTCCCTCCTCTCTCTCTCCTCCTCTCGCTCACCCTCCTCTCATCTCTCCCTCCTCTCTCTCTCTCTCCTCTCTCTCTCCTCTCTCTCTCCCTCCTCTCTCTCCTCCTCTCTCTTCCCTCCTCTCTCTTCCCGTCCTCTCTCTCCTCCTCTCTCTCCCTCCTCTCTCTCCCTCCTCTCTCTCCCTCCTCTCTCTCCCTCCTCTCTCTCCTCCTCTCATCTCCCTCCTCTCATCTCCCGTCCTCTCTCTCATCACCGTCCCTCTCTCATCCCTCCTCTCGTCTCTCCACTCCTCTCTCATCCCACCTCTCTCTTCTCTCCCTCCTCTCTCTCCCTCCTCTCTCTTTTTTTTTTTCTTTTTTTTTTTTTTTTTACACATGTTTGACATGGTTAAGGATCCCCTTAGCTTTATTGACAGCTATTTACAGTTTAAGGATTCCTAACTTAAAAAAAAAAAAAAAATTTGGGCAAGCTAAGAGCTGTTACCATACATCATCACATTTGAGAAGCCATTTTTGTTATGAGACATAGACAAGTAGGGAAGCCGGATGAATTGGAGCCATCTGTGGGCCAGCATTTTCATTTGATCAACTGACGTAATCACTTTGACATCAATATGCTGTACGAATGTGTTTCCCATACTCGAGTCATCCTGGTATGTATGATCTCAGATGGAGTTATGTTCTGGAGAAGGGTACCAGCCAGAGTGAAGTTTGCTGCTTTCTCCCGTCTTGTGGCATAAACGCTTTTTCACCAGTCCTACGAAGTGGAATCCAAGTGTGTTATTTTTCCTCTCTCTCCCTCCACTCTCTCCCTCCTCACTCTCACCTCACTCTCTCTCGGGGGCTCCTCTCTCTCCCTCCCACTCTCTCCCTCCTCTCCTCCTCTCTCTCCCTGCCTCTCTCTCCCTCCTCACTCTCCCTCCTCTCTCTTCCTCCTATCTCTCCCTCCTCTCTCTTCCCTCCTCTCTCTCCCTCCTCTCTCCTCCCTCCTCTCTCTCCTCTCTCCCCTTCCTCTCTCTCCCTGCCTCTCACTCACTCCTCTCACTCACTCCCCTCTCCCCCTCCCCCTCTCCCTTCCCCAACCCCTCCCTCCCACCAGTCCCTCCTCTCCTCTCCTTCCTCTTACTCATCTCCCCCTCTCCTCCCCCCCTCTCCTTCTCTTCCTTCCCCTCCGCTCCCTCTTCTCTTTTCCTCCTCTCTTCTTCACACAAGTTACAGGGTTATGCTGATTAATGTAACTGAGAGCAACTGGCATTTTCTTTCTTGGATAAGTAAATGTCAAAGTACAGTCATTTGCATGTGCATGAAATTCTGGGATGAGATGAAGATCATTGATGTAAACACTCCATAACAATAGGCTAAGCATGCCTCCCTGTGGAACACTGGCACTGATTGAGTTTCTTGATGAGTCTGTTCCACTGAGAACTACTCTTAGTCATCTTTCTTGAAGGTAATCACTAAGGAGGTGTAGTGCAGAGCCAGAGACTTTTAGTACTTGCAATTTTGCCATGGGTCCCTGGTGCAGTACTTGGTTGAAAGTGCCAGCAATGTCAAGTTCTCTCCACCAGCCATCACCTGAGATGACCCAAGAAAAAAGAAACACATTCACCATCATTCATTCGTTTACTGTCTTGCCAAAAGTGCAAAATAAATCCAGTAAAAAAGCAAGGGCACCATGGACACATTGAGAGAGCATCATATCAGTATCCATGGGTTGCAACTATTCAACCTGCTACCAACAGATATCAGAAATATTGCTGCAGTAAATGCGAGGATCTGCTGATGGTCCCCAATTAGGGTCCTTATTTTGTCTGAGTTTATCACTTTATTTTGTTTATAATAATAATTGTCTCTTTGTTCCTTGTCTGGCACTGGACTGTTCACTTCTGCTTCATGCATTATTGCTGTGATTAAGTTTCATAAATTATTGCAGTGATTAATTACTGCCTCTGCCAAGTGCCAGATCAACCAGCAACAGCCTGGTTGACCAGGCAAGTAATAGAAAAGCCTGACACTAAACCTAGTTATGGGAGTAGGATGACTCGCACAACTCTTCTTGGGTATATCACAGGGTTGGATTGGAAGAAGGATGTGAAAAAAAATGGTATTGAGAGGTCAAGGCCTGAACATCCAGCAGATACATGTACTTGTGAACCTGTTAAATTAGAGCAAGTTGAAGTGAGTGGTCTTTAACATTTGATTTGCTGTTGAAGTGTGACTGTTTTAGTAAATCGATTCAGAGAACCTACTGGCCTTCCAGACTTGAGTTTTAAAAAATGGAAGTACACTATAATACCTTCTCTTTGAAAGTCTGGTTGGAATTTTTTTTTATCATGATGTTTGTACACTACTGGATAGACAACTTGTAAATAATGATCACTGTGCTTGCATTTTTCTATGGAACATCTACCTTGATGTACTGCTCTGTAACCTGTGTCAATATAGAGTAAGAATTAGGATTAGTCTGCCTGAAATGCCTAGGCATGCTAGTGGCCTTCTTTGTAATTAATATTTTATAATATGTAAACCACACATTGTAATCTTTGCAAGTAAATAAATATTTTAATTTTTAATTTTTCATTTTCACATAGTTGGTGTAAAAAATAAATAATGTATGTATTCATTTTCACAAATACAGGTAACTCCCAGGCCCTTAAAACCCTGCTGATGAATCCTCATTTAAGAGAGATGGTAAAGGAAGTCGACAGTGCAACTAATGCTGAAGTTGCCATTCAGAGGGCCATGATGGAGCCAATCTTTACAGAATTTGCTGATGTTTGTCTGAGCATTGCAGAACCCAGTGAACATAATGAAGATCTTGAATCTGATGAAGATATATAAAGGCTTGATTTGTAAATGATAAGTTATACCCATTTTGATATGTACTGTACTTGTAAGAATATATTTTGTGTAGTAATTCACTTTTATCATTGAGTCATATTACCTGCCTGTCTAATGTTCAATCTGGTAATACTGATTTGCCTCCACACATCCAGTTCTCTCCTTGAATATAGCAATGTTTACAATGTAATTTAGATCTTGAGGTTATGAGTTACAACCCCTCAAGGGAGGTTCCTTGACACTGGTGAGGGGCTCTTGATCTTGGGAATTGGATCTGTGCTACAGTTTCCTGAATTGAGCCTGAATACCTTCCATTCCTCCCTCCGGACACTGTATAATCCTACGGGTTTAGTGCTCCCCCATGATTATAATAATAATAATATGAGTTACGAATTATTGTCTCTTAGTTTAATTTGAATTGATCATTAATTTTGTACCTATTTGTTTATTCACCTGGAGAAGAGAGAAGTGTAGAGGAAAGAGAGAGATTTTGGGAGATGTTGAGTGAGTGCTTGGGGAGTTTTGAACCAAGTGAGGGAGTAAATGTGATGGGGGACCTAAATACAGTGGACCCTCAGTTATGGGCCATAATCTGTTCCAGAAGTTCGGCCTAAAACTGAAATGGCCGAAAGCTGAAATAATATTTCCCGTAAGAATTGATGTATGTAATTACAATTAATCCGTTCCAGACAATCAAAAATATTAACAAAAAATACACTTTTAAAGATTAATTATATAGTTTTACATACACAAAACAATGAGTACTAAATAAATAAGTGAATATTTAAATCACTATTACATACCTTTATTGAAGACTCTTGTTGGCTTATGGAAGACAGGGAAGAGGAGAGGGGGAGGACTGATCATTGTTTGGAAAGAGAATCCCCCTACCATAAGGACTTCAGGTATCAGAGCCCTCTCTGGGGTTACGTCCCTTCTTTGTCTTTTGCTGCCACTAGGACCAGCTTGAGAGTTACTGCACACCTGCCACACACACACAAAAAAAAAACTGTCCAGAGAGGTCTGTTTCTGGCGTCTCTTTAAGATTTCCCTGAAGTGGGACAAGGTTTTGTCACTAAACATGTTGCAGATATTACTTGTTTCAGCTAGGTCAAGTTGATATTTCTCCACAAAAGTTTGCACCTCATTCAACTTTGCACAAATGTCCTTAATCACTGAAGAAGGCACCTTCTTCCCTCTCTTTTCCTCCTCCTCCTCTGAAGCAATTTCCTCATCTGTGGTCTGTTGCTGTTCCAGATGAAGGTCTTGCAGCTCTTCAGTGGTTAGCTCTTCCCTGTGGACCTCCACCAACTCTTCCACATCCTCACCACTCACCTCCAACCCCATGGACTTCTCCAAAGACACAATACATCCCACGACAGGAGTAGGGTCCTCAGGGTCAGCCCCCAAATCCTTCAAAATCCTTGTTGAGGACACATTCTGGTCATAATTTTCTCCAAGCAGAGTTCAAAGTCCTGGAAGTCACTCCCTGCCAAGCCTTACCTATAAGGCTTACGCAGTTCAGGATTTTGAAGTGATTCCTCCAGAACTCTCTTAGGGTCAAGTCAGTGTCCATACGTACTCCTTGAATTCATGCACGAATTTTTCAGCCGGAAATTTGTCAACTTGCTCGCCATGCCTCACAACACTGTGTATGCTACTATGCTTCTTAAATCTCTCAAACCAGCCTTTGCTGGCCCTAAATTCACTAACAGCAGCACTCATTTCAGGCATTTTCTTGACGAGGTCCGCATCCAACTGCTGTGCCTTTTCACAAATGATCGACTCCACAACACTATCTCCTGCTAATTGTTTTTCAGTGATCCACAAGAACAATAATTTCTCCATATCTTCTATTATTGGTGACCTTTGTTTTGTTAGAATATTTACTCCTTTTGCAACATTAGCTTCCTTGATTTCTACTTTCTTTGCCAGGATGGAAGTGATTGTTGATTTGGATTTTTCCAGACATCCTGGCAAGTTTTAGCACTCGCACAACACTCATATTTTTCAATAACTTCTTTCTTAAATTCCATCATGTTTCTCACTTTCTTTACCAAAGGAACTTTACTAGGAACTTTTTTTGGACCCATGGTTGCTTATTTCGCAGTTGCACTCAATCAAAAACCACAAAAAAAATGGATTATAGTGAAATGTTTTGATGAATGAGCAGAAGTTTCTTCATTTGACCAGAGACACAACCACACTGACTCACGAACGCGTGAGCAGCTGGCGGGTGGTGGGTAGACGCGCCCAATACGGCCGATAAGCGAAATAACAACCGATAACCGGAATAA